AGAGACTCTGCCTCACAGAGTCCCAGCAACCGCTGCAAACCTCGGAGAGAAAGCTGCCCTCGAGTTCCGACCGAGGCCAGACAGTCCTGCTTCTCCCGTTTGAGTCTGCGTCCCTAGCGACTCGCCCGGATCTGGGGATCAGAGTCTGACGCTCCCTCCCGATTGTAAACAATCGCGCCCTCCGCGCCGCGCCGCCAGCCGCGCTCCACGTGCACTCGCACCTCAGATTTTCACTTCAGCACTGCGGCTCCTCTGAGTCTGGATATAATATTCTCTTTACTCCTAGTTGTAGAATTTCCACTCAGCCAGTCCTCCTGTGGTTCTGGATGTTGTCCGTTCCCTGGTTCAAGCTTAATTTGAATTGGTTGTTCAAGGCAGCAATCTCCGGCGTTAACCTATGCCGCCATCTTCGGTTCTCCTCCTTATTCTATTTTATTATATCATTATTGTTGAAGGAATTACATATGTCCCTTTTTATCCCCATTGACCCCTCTAGTCCATCCCCAGGCATTTACCATCCTATTGTATGTGTCCATGGATTATGCATATACACATACAAATTATTTGGTTGATATCTTCCCACCCACCCACCCTACCCTGACTTCCATCTGAGATTCCTGTCTTTTCTATGCTACTAGGTCTCTGGATCCATTCTTTTTATTCATTTATTTTGTTGATTATGTTCCACATAGGAGTGAGATCATGTGATAATTGTCTTTCCTGACTGGCTTATTTCATTTAGCATGATATTCTTTAGGTCCCTCCATGCTGTCTCAAAGACTAACAGATCCTTATTTTTCACTGCTGCATAGTATTTCATGGTATAAATATACAACAGCTTTTTTTATCCACTGATGGGCACTTGTGCTGTTTCCAAATGTTAGCTATTGTAAATTGCACTGCTATGAACATAGGGTTGCATACATTGTTTCTGTTTGGTGTTTGGGGTCCCTTAAGATATATTCCTAGAAGTGAGATCACTGGGTCAAAGGCAGTTCCATATTTAGTTTTTAGAACAAACACCATACTGTTTTTCATAATGGCTGCACCAGTCAGCACTCCCACCAGCAGTATTCTAGGGTTCTCTTTTCTCTACATCCTGGCCAGCACTTGTCATTTGTTGATTTGTTAATGATAGCCATTCTGACAGGGGT